CTATTTTTTTACTTTTCGACCCGTCGAAGGTTTTATGAGTACCGCTTTTGGAAACGATCTGATGTTGCGATTTTAACAGCGCGATGCTTGAAAATAAATTGAACTTCATCTTAATTGTATTATTTTTCAAGCTTACGACCACTATTTAAGATAGAAAACGGTTTTCTGGCTAAGTATCTACTTTACTAAACCATATAACGACATGTATGAAATTTTTCGTTTACATTTTTCACTGTCGCTGATAAAACTGTACTTTGTATGTTGTTTTTATATTATTCGATTAACCTAATTATTATTCTCGTCGTTTGGTAAATACAATGCCATCTAAATCATAAGCCATACATAGTTGCATTATTCAATAGAAAACGAGCCGCGACATGGAAGTGTGCGTTAGATTTTCATGCCAACATCACGTATTTATGTATTATATTATAGAGCAGAATTACGTAAGAAAATAAAATACTACATGTTACGCGCGTAAAACCAACATCTACTGATTAGATAACCTCATTTTGAGAACTTTAAAGTGAAAAATTTGTTGAAATGTAACGTTTTATTGAGGTATATGTGCAATATTATATAGTAAATGCTAAAGTGGTAAAAACTGTCGATAATTAAAACGAAAGCCACGTATAGATCATTCCTGTGACTACGATAAAAACTCCTTTCGCGACAGCTAGCGCCATCTAGTTCGTAACTTGGTAAGGTGCAGCTGTCATCAAAATGCCGGCTCTTCGTTCGCGAGTTATTTTTACATCGCCCACTATCGTTAGGTTCTTGGACAAAAGTTTATGATGTCAACGGCTATTTGAGAATAATTGCCGCGCGATATTTACATTTGTATAAATCCATATAGAACATTACCTAATGCTCGGTGATCTGAGATAACTTTGACATGTCGACAAGTTAATCTGTTCATTGAACTTTGATATGACGAAGCACGAAACGAAAACTCAAACCCTCGACCGCTTTAGGTTTTGTAAGATTAGACACAGCGTCTTAACCGCACACATTAAAGTTATGGAAACGAAATTTAATAACACCCGTTACAATGTTCCGTCAAGGTTATCTTATTGAATTTTAATTAATATATTCCGATTCTTTAAACTTACTGCATCGAAACAGGTAAATACGCAACGTAAATGAAATAAATTAATTTTAAATTATTGTACGTAAAAACATGAAATTTTAAAGCTAAAAATCAAATTTTAGAAACGTAAAATCTACATAATATATATCTACATGACATTCCTTGGACGAAAACTGCCGGAAAGTGCAATTTTTCGGAGTAAATAGTATAGGTGTTACTCGAAAGTTGCCTCAACATTTTATCAAAACGAGTCAAGCCGTTTGGGCGCAAATTATAATTAAACTTTTGCATTAATATTTTTATTTGTGTTTAAAAAACATGCTACCAGGTGGAAGTCGAAAGTCGAATTAAACTTCGTCGATAACGACGTTGTTAATTTTATGTTTTATTTACTTCCTCCCAAGTCAATTGTCATTTGATATTTGTATCTTAATTACACTTAGAAAGCTAAAGCACGCTACCAGTAAGTAGTTTTGTTTCTTTTTTCGCGAACTTATTTGTGTGATGCACATGCCCTTGCATTCGAATCGTGTCAAACGTTTGCGGAAAAGCCTTCGGTGTTTTCCTTAAGGCTCAAATGGGGAAGGTCACATATTTTTAAATTAATAGTCAAAGCGAGATATTTGTTATCTGTTTACGATTTTTAACAGAATTCTTATATTTATAGACATACAATATAGAATTGATTGGTAGACGTTTCTCGTTGGACTAATTTTATTACTAACAGCGTATCGGATTGCAAAGTTTAAGCGTTTAGTAGACCAAACTGATTATCATTAACAACCCAAAAGGAGTTCTTGGTCAGAAGACCAGTAGCACAATAAGGCGACGTCATATAGAAGATTGCTGGGGAAAACTGCCCAAAACGGGGAAGCCTGGAAAACTTTGGAGGAGGACTATGCGCTGAGGGCTTTCTAATGACCTAATATTTCATAACCATCTTAAAATAATATTGTACATATCAGTAACTGGTCTGTGGTGATAGATACAATATCATTTATTGAAAATTAGAGTAAGTTAAAAGATATACATAGACTATGTACATCTAAATACTGTCTATAGTTTACGCGAATACTACACATTTAAATAAAACACTTTAACGGTTTAAAACGTGATATATTAGTTAAACTTATTTGAAAATGATTTTTAACGTTGGCCCGACGTTAAAAATCATCGTTAAAGTGTTTTATTTAAATATGTACATCTATTAACTTTCATCTTTTAACATTTAAAGGATATAATTAGGCTTAATTATTGATAAAACTTGTTTGTATTGATTTTTTAGTGAAATGGGGAAATCGTTTCTTTTGAGAGCTCCTACGTTGGTTATCTAAGCTTGAGGAGTAGCTGGTTAGATGAACTAAGTTTTAGTACTCTAACCCAGCCAGCATTGAAAAATTTGAGTAGTGCTAACTACGAAAAGCAGACAGTTCCGTGGAGATGTTACAAAAAAGGAGAAAATTATTTCTATAAGAAGACTTGTTGGTGCGCCGATTACGAAAGAAAACTATTAACAAAAAGATACAAAAAAAGTTTTTTTTTTTATGATAAGGACACAGACACGCTTGGTGTTATTGACGAAACCGAAACGCGATTAAGTTCAGGCTTCTTCATTGTCGAGGTGGTTGACGGACGGAATTTCAATATTCCTAGACCCATTTTATATCCAGATTTCAGAAGTCAGGTGTTTCAGAAAAATTATAACAAATAGAAAATAGTCTATAGTTTACGCGAGTAGTACACATTTAAATAAAACACTTTAACGGTTTAAAACGCGATATATTAGTTAAACTTATTTGAAAATGATTTTTAACGTCGGGCCAAAGTTAAAAATCATTTTCAAATAAGTTTAACTAGTATATCGCGTTTTAAACCGTTAAAGTGTTTTATTTAAATCAGAAACATGTTAGTCCCAGTGGGGGTCGAACCCACGACCCGTTGATTATTAACCATACATCGCTACCATTACACCGACACGCCCGTCATATTGACTTTCAATATAACTTTATTCTTGTATTTGTGTATTTATTTGTACTTTCCTAAATTCAAATGCTCAAGTACATCGCAGACCAACTTTTCCTTGTGAATCATGCGAAAACACGGTTTTCGCAACAAAGTACGCGCAGATAAAGCGAGTATTGTGCACCCTTATAAAGCTCATGACTAATTCCAATATCTCCAAGATGATTCACGATACTTTGTAAAAACACCAAAAGCACGTACTTACGTATACTAAGTAACCGAATATGCTATGAATAATTATTATGAGATTTGATTAAGTGTTGTAATTGTTACATTGAGGCTTTTCTTTAGGAAGTCTTTTAGACAAAGTTTTTACTATTTGAAGACGCTTTTAACATTGGTTGTGATATTTGGCATTGGTCTATTAGATCTGAGTAAGTAAAGTAAAACGATAAGGACATCTATTAGCTTTAAAACTTCTAAGTCCAAATAAATTAGCAGTTTAAAAAATGGTTTTTATTTCATCGTAAGTGAAAACTTTTTGTTATGCGAAAAAATGACACACTAGCGTTAGGGCACAAAACAGAATAAAAAAATCGCAACACGGAGGCGAAGTAGACAGTAAAGTTTGTGATTGTATTTTACCACATAAGTACTCCATTGACAACTGAAGAGCTAGGGTTTTTCGTAATCAAAATGTCTAACGTTTCTTCAACAGTGCAAAAGTGTAACCTTTTTTTTTAAACATTGTTTAGCTTTAGAATGATGTTAAAAAAAATATATATATTTTTTTAACTTTTAATTAATTTACTATACCACCAGTACCATAAAATTCATAGCTTAGTTCACGTATGACCAATTTCACGTAACTCCGGGCAAGGATTACTAATTCCAGAACTAAGAGTAAAATCTAAACTTAATTATTTGGGCGGGGTTTCTATGATCTACGCATAGAAATTTATTTAACACATAGTTTAGCTGGCTAACCATCGTGTCTATTAAGTTATTTGGTGCCATGAGTGAATTAGGTCTATTTAGGAAAGTTAAGCACTACTATTACTAAAACATATAGACTCTTAGCTTACGTAAATAACAAAACTGTTTAACATAAATACGTAACACAAATTACATGACAGACCGACAAACACTTCCGTCCTGCGCAACATACAAATATGTATATACTTTACTGGATATTTATTTATTAATCATCAGTTATAAAATATTAGTATATAATATAGTAATTTTGACCTACATACATTTTCTTGTACTTCAGTTAATTACGAAAATATCTTGATATTGTCAGCTGGTAACTCGCGACTTTAATGCTTTAAAACTGGAAATATATTAACTAAATTTTATTACTGGACGCTTTAATTGCTTTGCAGCAATCGTGGTCACGGCGGGACTGGAGATGGTGATGTGAGGGTGGCTGTGTATATTTCGCGTTTTAGAACGTTAAAAAAGGTTTATTTTGCCTTGGTTTTATTCTGTCAAGTTATGAGACTAAAGTTGTTTTAAACTATCGTTATGTTAGGATTCTGTCATAGAATAGTGGACAGACAAGAACAAGAAAAAAGACATGGAAGATGGATATTCCAACTGATAAAATTGGGATTGGGAAGTCGGCTGAAACCAATATCTTCTTTAAACTTAACAAGAGTTTAAGTTCGATAAGTTACAGAAAAATAATGTTTAAATAAAGTTTTCAATTTAGGTATAATATGAAGTTAAGTGTAGTATAACTGAACTTAGTAACGATTTCTTTTAGCTACGGCCAAACGTTTCGGGTTTTAAGGGTCGGGGACGCATACGTTGTATATACGCATTTTAAACTGTAAAGGATGTTTTTTTATTAAAATTTGTACTTCCCGTGTAAACCTAAAAAGGACCTGTTAAATGCAGCGAGCAGCAGCACCTTTAAATTATCTCTCGGTTTAGACAGCCCTCATTAAGGCGTCAAGTCGAATTCTATTTCTGTATCGTTATCAGTAATCGCGGAGCTGATAAGGAAAAAGCCATCCGCTCCGGCTGTTATCTTAAAGAGAAATGTTTTCAATATTCTTGAATATAATCGAAGGATTTTTCACTATCTCAATAAGAGTATTTGGACGGATTTAAACTAGTTATATTAACGATAGTTATTGAGACTGTATGAATAGAAAGGTCCTGGGTTCGAATTAAAAGAGTACACAGTAGTCTAAACTACTTGACTTTAACGACATAGAAATGTGTTCTCACACATCGTAAGGGGAAACAGGATTTCACGTAAATTAATTTTTAAGTTATTTTCCATGAATGATAAAAATGGTATCAACATTTTAAATTATAACTATAACTAAACTACCTATAATACAATAAATAAAAAATAATCCTCTATTCCTTACGACAGAGGAGTGAAGCGTGGGGTTTACTATTGGGAAGAAATACCCCCCCCCCCCCATATATAACATCTTAACAAGTTGCGCTGTCGACCTTTTTTTTATATTCATTTATTCCTTTACTTTCCAAAGATCTGTACACAGATGCGGGGGGGAAAACGGCGGCCAGCCTCCTGAAGATTACAGAAGCGAAATACGATTACAATTCACGACTTTTCATTTGAGGACGGTGGTTCACCACCCGGACGGAATTTCTTTATTCCTACCGCCCACTCAATATCCATACAGCCTAGACTGTATGGATATTGGAGAAGCACAATGTGTTTTAGAAAAAATATAAATTGCTAAAGCTCTTATTGGTTCAGGTGGAGATTGAACACTAGTATGATTCTCAATTTATTATTAATATTACATTGACTACCATTAGATTAACTCGTGGTACTCGTAACTAGCTTTATAATAGTTACATAGTATTTTTAAATAACACACAGCGCCTACGTGCAACGCCTACAAGTATTTTGTTACAAGAACTTTAATTAAGATACAAAAAGATACAATTACTATTTTCAGACCTATTAGAAATGTAATAAATATAGATCCGTAGTGTTATTTATATTGCTTCATTATTTTCGTAACAAGCTTCCATTTAACAAAATATTTTATACATGGCCTATCTTTAACGGGTTCGTTAATTTAAGTGTAGCAATATAATAATTAACTGTTGCATTCAAATCCAACCAGGTCCAGTATGTTATTTAATAACAATCGATTTTTTTTAAATTTGTTTTTATTTATTAAAATTCTACAAACCTTTTACATCATTTTTAGTAATTAATTCAATACGACAAGTTAATAAATTATTAAATTGGATACTTCATAGTTGAATGTTCATTTACCATACAGGTTATAAGAAGACAGTTGGAAGTGTGTGCATATCCCTTTTCTCTAGTTAAGTAAACATGTTTTTAACTTTTTTCATAGATAGGTATTACGTTACAACAACTATTAAATGGATTGTAGAAATGTCAAATTATCGTCCGGCTCACGAACCACCATCCAAGCTTTAGTCTGCGGATTTCCGAATGTCGAAAGCCAAAATAGATGGCCAGTGCATATTGTTCAGATAGGTGGCATATGTTCCTTCCATCAAGTGAATGTTATCTGTCGTTATCTGATATGAAAAGAAGCATTTACTGATTTTTCTAAATATAGACCAATAGTCCGGAAATGTCAACTTTAAATGGCTATAGAATTTCCATCTTAGTCCATAAGCCTTTATTCATACGGAAAAATTAACTACTTTTCCATTTATTATAGCTTTTTAGGTTTGGGTGTTAATCAGAGTTTCGTTTTCAGCCTGTGGATTTCCATGTCCAAAGGCGATAACGAAATTATAGACTAAATTTGAAAATTCTTAATTTTCAGGATGAACTTGTATTTTTGGAAGGGCATAATTGAGGCTGCTATAGGCAGAGAGGCCTAATAACATACATGATTCTCAATAAGGAGAAAAATTAAGTAAGGCGAAACTGAATAAAACTATCATTCGTGTAGAAATAATATTAACAATTCTCGGTCACTGTGCAATTGTAGATTCACATTTTTAGACTAGAACAATATAAATAAGTCAAGTCATGAAATTGCAGTTAGGCTACTCTGCCTCTAACAGCCTCAATTGTATCTCATATTTTTTGCATATAATTCACCATTGATAATAGTGCACGTAAGGAACTTCTTAAATTCGGTAAACACACTGCTAGTGTGATCTAAATAGTAAAACTAACGTAAACAGTATATTTTATAATAAGTATATATTATTTACCAATAAAAATGTTTAATCCAACAGTCACGACGGGTTAAAATCCGCCCGCCCTGCCATAAATAGGAATTTTAAATACGGTGATTGAAAGCTCCTTTTACTCCAACAGTTCTTTTTATTTAGGTCAAAATAAAAACCTTCATATCACTGAAATCTCAGTTCTTTCAACTAAGCCAGAGAAAATATACACGAAGAAAATGGGTTTTCCAGCGCCATCTAGTTAACTTTCCATAAATTAATTCTATATGTTTATATGAGTACAACATGACCTCATGGTTGGTGTCACGCGAACATTAATATATTAAACAGGTAAAAAACTAAATTCATAGTTTTAATTTGAAATCATATATGCTACTGCTGTTTTACATTTTTAATATCAGTCTATTAGAAATAAGAAAAATAAATTATAGTTAGTTAAAAAGGCTCAAAGTACTGGATTAATATTTTTTTCTAAATGGGTACAAAGAACCAAAATATCGAAAAGGTAAACCCACGTTATTGATATCCTTTTCAACAATAATGTTTATTAAAATAATAGGACAACAACCGAAACTTCTACCAATTAGACGTACACTACATGTATAACCTCGACCTTGGTAATTCTAATCTAACCACATATTTTCACAGTGATTTAGGAAAATTAATATATTTTAAAGTAGAACAAAGCTTAATCCGGCTCATAGGACCAAAATTAAACAAAACTTCCACACATTAAAAACGCAATTATTCGAATTTCGAACGTAAGCTGAAAACATTTGACGTGTTGACGACCCGCGGGTCGTTGACCCCTTGCGCACCAACCGACTGGCGAACGGAGGTCATCGTTGGCACACGCTCTGATTAAGTATTTCATTCACATTTTATTCTCCTCCGCTACGAGGTTAACTCGGATGATGGGCCGCGGGGCCAAAGCTCAAACAATGTGAAAGAGGCAGTGTGTTGTAACCAGTAGGAGTTAAGTTGGATAGAATAAAGGACAAAAAGTAACAATAAAAAAAATACCATTTAAAAATTTATGTTAAAAAAAGGTTTCTATGCCCTTAATTTTCTTGTCTCGCTTGTGACCAAATTGTGCTTTCACCTTTATCCGTATTGTATTCTAAAATCTTACGGCTCTCTCCCACTTTACTTCTCCACGTAAATCCAAGCGTAATAAAAATACGTGCATTTTAGATCAAAATTTAATTTGCTCTCTTAGCACTAAAAGAATTAAGAATTAAGACGTTTGAAAACAAGAAAAAAAATTAGATTGATAACAATTTAAGAAACGGACAGGACTACAGTTCTAATTATATTATAATGTTACTTATATGCTTAATATGTACGGTTAATTATTTTTCTATAATATAATAATTTATTTTGTACCTATCTATCTTTGTCTATAATAAATTAGGACATTTAACATATACTTTTAAATAAAACACTTTAAACGGTTTAAAACGCGATATATATTAGTTAAACTTATTTGAAAATTATTTTAACTACAGTAGTTTGTTTTTAAATGTCAATATATACGTTAAGCGTATATTATAAAAATATTCATCGCCTAACAGCTGACCTGACGCGACATTTTCTGGAGCTATTAAAAGAGTACCGGAAACGGATTTTCATTTCGGCCCAAACGGTGGCAGAGTGGTGAAAACGTGAGGATACAACGTCATAGTTGGCGCCGTTTCACCATTGTATGCATTTGGAATGGCTGGTTACAGGGTCACTCACTACTATTGTTTTGAAACTAGTTAGGAAGTGTTGCTAAACAAGATTATTTCAATCTTGCTTACATTTTGTTTAAGCTAATCATAGACCAATTTGGACTCTAATACAACATTCTGCCACCTTCTTAATATTTGGAAGGTCTAATTTAAAAGCTTAGAGAAAACTTTCACTTTTTAATTTTAAAGTTCGTACCGATTTGATTTGTTTAGAGAAATGTAAAAAATGTAGCATGCAAAAGCTACAATTAAGACAAATGATATATAAGAAATATTATTTTAAATAGAAGAACTGAAAATCCAGGATTCCGATGGAATCCGGGGATGGTTTGGGAAATAATATAATACGATAAAAACTGGCGGCTAACGACTAATAAAACTTCTCCCTTTTATTCAAAACAATTATGGAAACCGTTTATTTAAACAATTTAATCTGCAGCGACGTTATCGCGTCTAAGTAATTAGTAATAACATAAAGAACAAAGGAACATCCGGCAGGACTATGCCGTGTCATCGACTCGCGCGCATTCATGAAGCGATGACGTCACATCCGGCGAGAACAGATTTGTGACGACGGAAACAACTAGTGTTTGAGCGCGATTTCATCGTAGCACAAAAAATATACGCCAATCAAAATATATGAAATATTTTTCAATAATATAAAAATCTATCTTATAAGTATCTCTCCTGATTAAATCCTAGTGTTAGACAAAGGTATAAACCCTGAATCTTTTTCGGCTATTGGAATAGTAAGCAACACGTTTTCTATCTGACGTCAACCCGGATTAAAGCTCTTTGTCCAGGGCCAAGACAAAGAGCATTAATACAAGGTGTTGACAAATGCTCTCATCAAAACAACATTTCATGTTCATTTCAAAAAAGATTTTTTCAATTTAAACCAGTATTTTCTGTGATTAGCGCGTTCAAACGAACAATCTTTATACTTTACTTTTTATAGTTTGTATAGTGTATATAGATAGTAATATCCACCCTCCATCCATCTTTGTATGTGCCACAAATAAAAACGTAGGAATTCTTTGAGCCTCCAGTGTCGGCGCACTTATCCCTTTAAGGCCGGTGTGCATTTAAATGGCACTGTTATTGCGACGTGACGTGAATGTAATAAGTTAAAACAACTTTTGTTCGCGACAGCACCTGTTGATCTTATATTCTGCGATAGTGGTCGTACGTATCTTTTTTAACAATATTTGAACGTCGAAATACAGACAAATATCGTAGCCATTTTTGGTACTTAGCTCTAAGGCTATCGAGCCGTTGGTCTATTATAATGGGGAAATTGATCTGGACGGGTTTCGAGTGTGAATAGCATCTTCTGGAGATGTTGACCGTTCCCAAAATTTGACTGATCATCAGATTAGCTAGACGAAGTATATGAATATTGTTTCTTTGAAATCAGATACCAGTACAACGCGTTTCGTGGCTCAACAAGCTATGCTGATATGTTAAAATAGATGATTTACAGACAAAACCTGTAAGCCCTGTATCTATTTCCTACTATGAATAAGCGTCAGTTGTATCTTCATTAATTGAATATAGTAGGTATTATGAATGCAATGCAAAAAAGGTTTCGCTAGATTATTCACTACTGTTGTCAACTTTTAAGGACCCTACATTTTATCTTCTAATTATGTGTTTTAGGAAAAAATCAAATAATTTGATTCCCTTTTAGGCGCCGGGTTTCTATTCTATAGAAATATTGGTGATAATATGCTAAACTTACCTTGAAATGTTGATGTGCAGCCTGTTCTTCTGCCTCGAATTTGTGCTTAATATTGTCTATTCGCATTTGCTTTAAAATTCCGGCAACTTCGATTCTATAACAACAACAATAGAATACTGTCTATAGTTTACGCGAGTAGTACACTTTAACGGTTTAAAACGCGATATATTAGTTAAACTTATTTGAAAATGATTTTTAACTTCGGCCCGACGTTTCGGATGCTTTGCAGCAGCCGTGGTAGGGGCATCCGAAACTCGGGTTAAAAATCAAAGTTAAAAATCATTTTCAAATAAGTTTAATAATATATCGCTTTTAAACTTAAAGTTTTTGTTTAAACAAATAGAGTTTAAAATATTTTTGGCTTATTCTGTATCTTGTAATAGACTAAATAATGTAAAATGATTATATTATGTTTTTGTAATTATTAAAACAATTTGGAGTAAGCACTGTAGTTCTAGAAAATAATAAACTGGGATATACATATTGTATTGTAAAAATAACAAGACAACTAAATTTGTCACATATTTAATTAATATATTTTTTTTGTAAAATTAATATTATATGTTACGTATAAAAGTACTTAACGTCATTTGATTTTCTTCCGTTTAAAAGTAGCAAGCAATTTTTTATTGTGCTAAAAACAGAATTTTAAAGCAAGATTATCATAGACAAGCTGATATTGATTAAATAAAGATTTGCTTTAATCGGAGAAAGTATAAATTAAATATTATACTATTACTTTGACTTCATATAAAGATAATGAAGAATATAAAAAATCTGAATATAAAATCGTCGTAGCTACCAGCTACGAGACTGCTACGCGGAGCGCTACGAACTTTTGCGTGTTTAGATGACTAAATTTAGCGTTAAAATGCGTGGGACTGACACATATTTATGTCTGTTTTTCTATTCCATTTATATGTTCTTGTAAAGCATAAAAATATGTCTTTAGTTGTTCTTATTGTTTTGTAAACTCAATGAAATATTTTACAATTCTACTTAGTAAATTACTACAAAAAAATTTGTTTACCTAACATATGCCATTTTCTACAATGACCATATAATTTTAGCTGATCAAAGGGTCAGAGAGAAAGAAATATTTACAATATTCCAAATCTATTGGAATTTAAAAAAAAAATGTCACGGGCAATACTTGAAGCAGCTTTCACAGCCAGATGTTTCTCTAACCAATTTAGCCACCCTGTCCTACATATTATCATCCAAAAATCAATCTAAAGAGATTTTTAATTTTTAAAATGCCATCATGTGAAAAATAATAATTGTTATTGTCCTTATGAAACCTTATATTGAAACTACAGTTTACTGGAGCAAATCATGATGATAATATTCAATAACTATGTCAATTCTTTTTTTCCTATTGTTCAGACAATAAAAACACCAAATCCTTTTAAAGTCTGAGTTTTTAACTAGTATAGAGATAACAAAGCTATTACTTTTCTAATACCCATAACCTCATTATTTCCCGGTTATATTTGTTGTTTAAAATCACCTTATTCTCATATTTTCTTGAAGTCTCCGGAGGGGACCAAGGTATTCCGGTGAACGACCTCCACGCACCTCGGCTAGCTGGTATTCCACGTCTTTGACTCTTTCATTATACAGTTGCTCACGTAAGACTGTAAATTGATGTTCTAGGTTTGCTGAAATTATAAACAATTAAAATTATATAAGTACATATAATTGGTATATAGTATAATAGTAAGGTTGTGATAATTGTTCAATAATAACTCAGATCTCTTGTACAAAATAAATAGATAGGTCTTCAAAATAATATTTTCTGACTGCATCCAATATATTGCTAGCTAGAGATTAAAAGTCACGAGCAGATATGAATATGAAGTTAGTCTATCTTATACTATTTGTCTTGCTTTTAAGCTTTAATTAATAATTGTAGAATGTTAAATGATATACCAAAACTTGTCATGCACATCTTGCAAAGCAAATAAACTTAAAAAAATATAAACGTTTTCCTTTAGTCACTTGAGCACAAAGTAATGGGTAATTAAAGGTATTTTTAAATTTTTATGAATTACAAATCTTGTGTAAACCCTTGGAAATTACTTAGGCCTACTCCAATTTCGTTTGTTTGTAAACATAACCTAAAAACCAACCTAAGTTATCAAGACATTCGTTCCTCCGCCGCTCGCATTCGCTTTCGTCCATCTCCGAGGAATCATCTGAATCAGGTTCATCAGCTTCTTCAGCGCTAGAGTCACGGTCTGGCCCTCTGGAAGAGCCTCCAGACCTTTCTGTTTCACCTCCAGATAAGTCACCATCGCCATCACTGTCACCCTCCACTTTCATAGACGGCATTCTTACTATACTGTTAATAAAAGTGATTATTATTATATACACTGCTTTAAATAACAAATTATTTGTATTTTATTTTCATACTCCACCTAAACAAAAACACGAAAAAGTGTCAATGCCAGATTGACAGTGACATGACATGCCACAAGTATAAAACTTTATTTAATGTCACAGATAACAAACGAGTGACGGGGGCCAAATTAATTTTTTTTTAATTCTGTTTAGTCAATTATGTTATCAAATAGTAAAGGCCATTAGTTATTAAAAAAAAAAACAAAAACTGTTCGAAATGTTTTCATAAAACTATTTATACCATCATAAATAAAACTTGTTGATCTTAGTTGTTTTGTTGTTCTCTTTTTTTTCAGTTTAATACAGTTTTTTTACGGGGCCTTCTTATTTATGCTATTTTATTTTTAAATAAATCTGACAAAGTAAAAACTGTTACACTATTTATTGTAGTTTAATGCAATTTCAAAGTCAAAAAATGGATTTAATAAAAATTATAGGTTACTTAAAGGATCCTGGCAATATACAAACTTATTAGTGACGGGTGCCAAAGAAAAAAAAATCTTGAATAAATGAAACAGTGTCTATATCTGATATTAAATTTAATAGGTATACTCTATTATTTACATTAAATTGTTCTCTATTAACATGGTATTTATAATAATTTCATTAAACAATCAGTTGTCAATAAACTTTATATACAGGACTATTTATAAATTATAGTATTAATATCAATACTGTGAAGTTCAAAATCCACAATTGAATACGTGCACGAAATGTAAAATACGTGACCTAAAATTAACTTAAAGTGGAAAATACTGATACATCCAATGCACGTTTCGTAAAATAATACAGACAACATAGTATAGATCCTAGAGTACTTTAGCACCTCCACAGGCTACCACAAAATATTCAAAGTTATTAATAAAACCTCTTAAAAACCTATCGTAGTAAGACTTGAATTCTATAACGGTTTTCATACGACAGTATAAATTACAAAATATACACATAATTTGGCTTGGCGCTTAAATATATCGCAACAGCAAGTCGAATATAATAATATGTGTAAAATCTTCGTTTTAATGTACAGCGCCACGCACAAAAGGATATAGTAACAATTGTGATTAAAGTAATTATTATTTATATTGTTAATAACGCCACTGCTAGTGGCCTTTATTTGGCACTCAATTATTTGGAACGAACATTTCTGTCGACTCACAACTCGAACATAACTCCAAATAACAATTGAATAGATTTGAACGTGGACATAATATTCACAGACGACATTTTGTTTTTTGACAACTAAAATATGGCATTTGGAACTTGTGTCATCTGATATTAAAAGTAATTACAAAAATAGGTTCCCGTTTAATTTTGTACAATCGACCTGACAAAGTTCGGAACTGGCTTGTGAAAAACTAAAACATCAGGTAAACGTTGGCTTAAGATAAATGCAGCAGAACTCTGTCTTCGCCACTATAATGAATTAGTATAATATATTAAGAATGGAATTATTTAAGGTATAGGTATACTATAAAAACAGATATGTCGTTGTTATGTTCAATATTGCTTTCTACTCACTATTACAGCTGATTTTAAACATTGTCCAATATAGTTGTAAATATTTAAAATCTACCATTGATTCAAAACCCCCACGAGAAAACTACAGGAGAAATTTCCAAAAATTTACTATGTTTTAAGAGCTACGGCAATTTTTCGGAAGTAATAGGTATTAGTTACATTGCTTTATTTTTAATTATTGTTATTAGGTTATAATATTTTATCTTTTAATTTACGCTTCAAATGTGAAAATATTAACACGAAAATATAGTAAATTTTAAATCGTGATTATTTATGTCGACCGTATTAGATCAATTTACCCAAAAACATGAATAAATATACAAAACGACATAATTATATACTTTAACAATTCATGATCGATTAAATATTGGGTCGTCACGAACATTCATATTAATTGATAATTGTTTTCCAAATCAGAAGCAATTCAAAATTGGATTTGCAATAAAATCCAAATGGTCGAAATTAGAAATCGAATTTGAAAGTTCTAACATTAACAAACCACTATAAATTACTATTAATTTAAGGCAGTATCAGAAAGAGTTTTACATGAAAACGGATACAATTCATTAGAACAGACAATGTTATTGCCATATTAGAAAAAAATAAGTAAAATCTAGTCTCGTAAAGAACTTCAGGGAAATAAATACACCTATCTAAGAACAAAAATAAGTACAAACTCCATTAGGACGATAAATGAACACTTTAATACTCGTTAGAATGAAAATTAAGTTTTAATTAAGTACACAATTCCGTTTTGACATTGACCCAAAGGGGACTGTTTGTTTGTGATGAGAGACGTCAGAAATTTCGGAAGGTTAAATCAGAATTAAAATATCATTTTTTTTTAAATAGATTCATAGTTTATAGAACAACGAAACGATGTAATTTATTCCGTAAAATGTCAAGTCTCTATAGTAGCGCTATCTATAATCTCGTAACAATACTAGTCCCTTTTGAGCCCCTTAATTTTCATTCGAACGAATAACTAAATAGCACTATCCCTAGGGCCTACATCCGAAATTGTATTCTCTCTTTTGCTTTAATTACGTTCAGCAAATGTAGAACCATTCGCGTTATCATTCCGATTAAAACGATCACTTTCAAAACGTAGTTGACTACATCACTATTTATTACGCTTCGTCGATTATCCGTATCGTTCATTCGATCGATTGTCGATATATCTAATCGATCACTAACTACTATCGAATTGCGATTCTCAATGGCTACTAATTCCTCGGAATCTCCATAGCCAGCCGTTAATGGATAACAATTATCTGTATCGGCGACTAAATTGTCGATTCGTAGCGAAATTCGATTATTATTTTCTGTATGATAATAATCGTGGACAGTCGAGAGATCTGTGGACCAGCTTTTGAAGACATCTGAGTTAAATTGATAATTCAGCATTCCATATGAATCGATCGCCGAGAGATCAACTCGACTATCGAATTTCGGCACTCGATTATCGACTCGACCGATTTCGATCGTTCGCTAGGTGTGCTTGAGCCAGTGCGCTGGAACCCACTGTGGTTCTCTTTCGAGACTGTTGATTTCGTTAACTAGTTGTTGATAGGCGCGTTGAGTGTCGTTATTGATGATGATCATGTCGAAGAGATGGCCCCAGCGGAGTTCCATATCTCTGGCTGTTGCTATTATTTCTTTCAATTCCTCTTCCTGAAAACGACGGATGTAATTTATTTCACACGTAGGTAAATATTTCATTAATAAATTCATACAATATACTGAACTTTCCAAAGCAATGCCAAAAATCTATAGACATATTTAAATAAATAATGTTTTCTTTCTTTCTTTCAACATACTGATAATATTTTTTACACTTAGTCTCAAGATACTATGCTCTTCATCTCACCTTATAGGCTTCCGCATTTCTGATCTTTTTCTGCCGGAGCTTCTCTAAGCTGGGCGGAGCCACGAACACCGTGTAGGGCTTCAAATCAGAGCTGCGTAGAATCTTTAAAGACTGCGGGTGAAGGTTTAGTACGCAGATCTTGCCAGAGTTCACCACTTCGCGTATCGCTTCCAATGATGTACCTAGAACCAAGCGATTGTTTTTTATTGCTGACTTCGTTCGTATCGTGGGACTAATATAAGAACAAACGTAGCACAACCTACCATAATACGCTTTCTCATATTCCCCGTGCTCGACAAACTTCCTGTTGAGGATATCTGCTTCGAACTGCGTCCGCGAAATGAAGTGGTAGTCCTGACCGGGCACCTCGTGATCTTTGCGAGGCCGCGACGTATCTGTCAACGTCCGATTAAATTAGAAACTTTCTTTCACAGATTAGTTAGTTGTTAAGACCTGGGTTTTCTTCGTATCAAAAAGTGAACTTACGTGGCACGGCAGCCGCAAATCTCGCCGTGTCTTCCATCAGCCTCTGTCGCAGCTCGTGTCTCCCGATGTTAGGTGGACCGATGAGGACTATGGGTCTCTTGTGTGATGCTCTAGGGTAGTATAGACCGACCTCTTCGTATGTTAGGATCTCTTCTTGTTCATATTCTGTTAGATAACATTTATATGAGTTTTACTAATTCTATATTGGTTAGAAGAGTATATTTATCATTAAAGATACTATAAAGACTTACCATCACCACCGGAAGTAGAATAAAGTGGATATCCGGCTTCACTGGTGGCCTTCTTCCCCTTCTTCTTCCGGGGTGGCTTCTTGGCGCAGAGAAGCGTGCCTCCTTTCCGAGGCTTATCTCTCGCCGCCACTTCGCCGGCTAAAGTTAACTTCATCGATTCCCGTCTGCAAAAAAAAACATTTTTTCTTCATCACTAAACTTATAAATCCTCCTGTAAGTCTAAATGCATTGTGTAACATCATGTTGAGAGACAATCAATTTATCATGCTTTCATATAGGGTTTCTATCCTATGCTATCATCTATATATAAACTATGATATATTTAATTTTAATCGAAAAATTATGAACGCAAAATGAAGATTTAAAGTAAGATTCTTTTTTAATCTGTACTTCACCATTTAGCTTTTTATATTTCGCTTAAGAAATGTTGACGAGCCGTTTTATGAATCTTTATTTATTTGATCTTTATTAGTATTTGGATTTTTAAAATTAGATATAGCCTGAATAAATCATTTTAATATGATGACTTACTGGTGCTGGAATGCTTGACTAGGAATAAGTCCGGCTAGGGTCTGGTCTTCCTCACCCTCCCGGAATGCCTGCCACCAGTTCGGATCCTCTCTGCTGATCACGTGGAGGACGTCGCCCTTTTGGAAACTTATACCTATAGAAAAATAACACTTAGTTTATAGGAATTTAAGGATTTTGATTTAGTATTGAAAGAAGAACAAAGCAAAATCGAGAAACAAGTGAAAACATATTATAACGGAAATACCTAGTTCCCTGCAAGGTATATAGACGTCGTCCTCTGGATCGTAGTCGAAGTGCGCACGCACATGCAGCACGCGATGCGCGGGAGGTGGGCGTGGCCTGGCCCGCGGCGCCAGCACCACGGTCAGCGTGCCGACCAATCCTCCCAGCACTTGGCACACTTCGTGCACTGATTTCCCTCGCATGCTCACACCGTTCACTTCTAACAGCTGGAAGAGTTGTCGTAGAAAATCAAATACAATGCGTAACTTTGGCATTAGTCCTTCATATTTAAATCATACATATCATACGACTACTTGTATTGTATGTTTTTTTTTCTTTCTTGTTTTTTGTATACTAATTAAATAAAATCTTTACTAAGTCAACTAACACTCATAAGAAATGGATGGTCTGACTAATAAATTATTATTATTATTATTATAAAGTTGACTAGATTTACGTAAAATTAAAGTTGGAAAAAAAAAATTAAGCAGCGTTTTGTTTACAAAAACTACCATTACAAAAATGCTAATGTTAACAAAAAGTATTATCTCGGAAGGTGGTTTCATTTCATGTCTTACCTCGTCTCCTTCGTGCAGCAGGCCAGACTTCTCCGCTGCACCACCCCTCACTATCCTACCTATTATCACGGCCTCGCCTTCGTTTCGCACTGTAGCACCTGCAAGTACATTAAACCCACAGATATATCACAAACTGGTCCCACAGGCTTCTGCTAGTTTGACAATTATCAATGGGGTGACTCACCAAGAGGTTCATTAGTCTTTTCGATTTTAATAATCTTAATTGTATCGCTGGTGTCGTCCGGCGAATTGCTCGGCTGGAACTTGTCATTCTCGCCGACGTGGTTTGCAGTCTGTAAGACGTGAAGACGAAAATTATTATGTGTGTGTGTATATTTTAAAACGTTAGGTACTTTATATAAAAGATAGAAAGAGGTAAACAGTAAAACAGCATGTAGACATGCGAACTATTTCTTTGACTTTTTATAGAAAACGTCTGTACAATTGTATCTATATTCTATACTAATATTATAAAGTTGAGAAGTTTGTTTGTTTGACGAGCTAATCTCAGGAATTACTCGTTGTAATTGAAAAATTATTTTTGTGTTAAATAGAACATTTATTGAAAAAAGCTATAATATAAACAGCATCACACTTCGACTAATAGGTGCGAAGAAATAGTGGAACATGTTGAAAAAGTTTTCATCTTGAAGGGATTCTGGGAAGAAAAGAAACCCAAAAATACCCAAAAACGGGACGCGGACGAGGTGGTGGGTAAGAGCTATATTTTATAAAAATGAGGGGGTTGTTTCCATAAATAATTATGATGACAAAATAAAGATTCCAAGTAAACGAAGTCGCGGGCAAAGCTGGTTTAAAATAATTGTAATGTAAGGGCTAACTTTGTTTTATTACAAAGATGAGAAAACAGAATGGAACATGTTTTTTTTAATAGGTAATCATCCTCACAATTCTTTTATTTTATTTTCATATAGCGATGTTTAAAAATAGCGTTTACATACCTTATTTCGTTTCCCTCTCGCAAAACAAGAGGGGTCCAGCAAGGCGGCCGCTTGGTCGTGCGCTTGCAGCAAGTTCTCTAGCTCCAAACCGCCCAGTATGGACAGCAGCTCGGCTGCCAGCCCCGACGTCTCGCCTCCCGACGACGTATGTGATCCTAGTACATCTATACACTGGAATGAAAAATAAGAGAGTTAAGTATTGCCCATCCTTCATGTATAAATAATTTCGCTATCATTTTGCTGCAGCTTGGGATTTTCGAGCTGTTAGTTCGTTGATGGCATCATCAAAAGATGTCAAACGTTCTTCGACTTAAAACCCAAGACGTTTTTTAATTGTAAAAAGCTTTTTGTTTTTTCTTACAAATGAAAAATACAGTTTAGATAAACTGATAGAACAAAAAGATAAAAGGGCGGTTGTAAAAACTATTAGTAAAGCCATAGTTTATTATATACACTATGGATAGAAAATTTTTAAGCTATGTATAAATTGTTTTAGTCGTTAACACTGAAATACGATATAATAAAAACAATAAAACACGCTGATGTGATTTATTGTTTGATAAATAATTTTGGGAATGATATCATTGTTTGTTAATCAGGACACCAATACAATAAAACAATAGTTATTCTGTTATCTGATTCATTTAGTTATAGCGACTTTACCATCTGTGGACGTTTTTTAGAAACATATTGGACTTCGTTGAGTGGTAGGAATATCGAAATTCCGGATCACGAACCACCACAGATGGAATAGCCGTCAAGTTTAATCGCATTTCGGTTTCAATCTGTGGATTCCGGATATCCGAAGTCAAAATACAGCGTTTAGAAACATCTAAACGCTGTATTTTGACCATATAACAATATGTTAGGTATTTCATCTACCGACAAGTGTGCCCTAGCTTGTGTGTTTCCTTCTACTATACAAGAATTGCCATTAATTTATGAAAGCACTACAATTCAAACGCCCTTTCTACTGTAAAGCAATACACTCAACATCTGTGCTGTAGTATTGTTGAGTGTATTGCTGCACAGTAGAATGTATGTATACATTCCTCAACTTACATCTTTTAAGCGATCTGTCGCTCGTTGCGTTTGTGGGGGAGTCAAGCCAGGTCGCTTATGTCTGACAGTTGTCAAAACAGCGGACCTCGTAGCCAGGGCTGTCCTCAGACCTGGGTTGAGCAGCGCACTGGCTGCGCCGGCGACTCTCGCCGCGAGACCGGACTCGCCGATGGATCCCAGCGCCTTTTGGACCCTCGATAGAGCTGCACATACTTCTTGGTAATCTGGAAGGTTTAGCCGTCTTTTAGTTTCGTCAATTCCCTTATAGTCATAAGTTTAGTGTAATTTATCAATATGGCAAGATTATACGAAAGTTTTTGAGATTTTAAATTGTTATAGTGTTTTTTTAAACATTAAACAAAACACTTAACGGCAAAAAACATATTTCATTAGTACTGGTTGCTAAAGAAAAATTTGAGTCGTAGTTTATAATTAATGAATTAAAATATTTTAAGTTTTCGTCAGTTAAAAGTGTCTTATTTTGATTATTGTAAAAAAAATAAACTGTCATTTTGGACAAGAACATTGTCTACTTTCATCCCTTATTATACAACTTTCCTTTAACGAACCCTATAGTGTTATTATTGTTGATCTAGATTACATATGAAAATATATAATATAATAATTTAGGTACTAGAAAACACGCCTTTGCTTGCTAAATAGGACAGACGTGGGCGAAAGTGCAAGGGCCGCGTCACACCCTCGACTGAGTTCAATTAACTTGACTCAAGTTTAATTAGTATGCAAGATACTACCCGCAAGAAGATATTAATTACTTTGCGGTTGAATTTAATACAGAGATTGACTAAATACAAATTGTATATAATATATTTAACATTTTGATAGACGTGAGTTTGCGTGACATATTTTGTGATGGTTTTGTAAGGTACGTATTATTTAAAAAAATATATAGAAACATTTTGTAAATATTTCCCTCAAAAAAGTATATATTTTTGAAAACAATTTGTGATTTAAAAATTGAAAATAAAATGAAAAAAAATGATACTACATTGCGCGAGAGGTGCATGTATCAATAAATTGAAAAAAATCGACTATGAGGTGTAGGACTCGGTAGCTCAATTGGTAGCGCAACAGCACGGAACGCTGACGATGCCAGTTCAAGTCCTGCCCGAGTCGAAAATTTTTTCAATTCATGTGCAAAATAATAAAGTTTTCAAAACTATTTGTGAGTTTTAAATAAGCAATAATTTGCGTTTGAAACAGTTAAAGCCGTTTTATTTAAATGTTAACTACTCGCGTAAACTACACCTAGTACATATGTTAAGTTTTTTGAAATAGTAACCTGAGCCATACATAAAAAACAAGAGACTAAAAACTCACCAACTAGGTTATACAAGTGTGATGTTTCCTCGTCTTCTTCGTAGGCTTCGTTGACGAAGGACGTGGAGTTAGGCGGATTCGACTCAAGCGCTTGTAGCTTATGTGACCCTCGTAAGGAGGTTCGGAGGAACTCATTTTGGGCTGCGATTCGCTCTTCGGCTTCCTTGCGCTGACGCAGTTGCTCCTAGAAAAAAAAGGAAATGCTCAAAAAGTGTTGATTTGCGATTAAAATACTAAATCTCTAGTCCTGTCTATATATTATATTAATTAATAGGAACGTTGCATTTATTTGTTAGGGTCCAGACAAGTAGTAGTACATAGTGAAACCCTTTACCGCCGTGGGGCATGGGGCAAACAAATTTTTGCGTCCGTTTCTCTCAGCAGTTTATTTACAGTCAAGTAGGCTTCTTGAACTAAGAATCAAATTTCCCCGCGATTCAAACCCAGGACCCCTTGCACTTAACGCCATGCTAGGCAACACGTTCAACCATTTAGCTAGTAGCTCTAAAGGCGGTTGAAACATATACAAATGTACTCACATAAGATATTTAATATTTTACACGCTTTTAAGAAAGAGTAGTATTTAATTTGGAATTGATTATATTTCTTAGTCAACACCCTATATTATACGAAAACAGCCAAAAACTTTTAAACCAAAAACGATAAATTCATCTTATGTGAAACTCGTGCTATTAAAAAAAACGAATATTTAAAAATAAATCCCACGTCCATTTTCATTAAATATCCATCCTTCTCAAAATAGGATTTTCGATCAAACAAAGGGACATGACATTTTTAACCTATTTGGTAGCTTACTCAAATAAAATAAAATTCTGAACGCAGAAGGCTACAATGTTTCCATTTATTATCACGACAAATAGAAATCAAAGATAATAAAATCGATATTACATTACACATTATTTTTCTCTGAAAACATCAATTATTAACGAGATATAAGACGATATTAATTACCTAATTAGTGATAAGTCTTGAGTGTTTCAACTTATAACACGTATGGTTTTAATCTGTCATTATTTGGATTAGAACGCGGCTCACGGTCACTAATATAATCTTGTTTTGGCTTACGCAATGGGGAAGGCCACTTTACACCTTATTAAATTTAGGTATTATTACGATTAATTTATTGTTCGTAGTTTAGATAAATTAAAAAAATAAGGTAACCCATATATCTCGCTTTTGAAATCGTTAGGATGACGTTTCTTTTTTTAAAGGGTTCTATAGAAGGCTTGTGTATTGTGTATTTTATTACAGTACTGTGGTATTTACGGATATTTTAATTAAAATAATATAATATATTGTTCTATATAGATATATATATAAAAATGTTGGGCCAATTTACAATTATTAAATAAAGTGTTAACTCTCCAATGAGTCAATGACATACATAAAATATATGATTAGATAGAAATAAGAAATTAAGCTTAAGACAGAAGTACAATAGAATTAAAACGATTACCGATGCCATAGAGGCTACTATCATAATAACTCTTAATAATATTTAAAGCACATTCGTCTAAACGCGAAAGCTTTATACAACTTTTAAATATTTGATATGACAGTTAACAATTATAAATGGTGCATAGGTGATACCATAACAGTAATGGCAGACTTAGTCTCGTACCAGAAATTACCGTTGCTGCTGGAAGGAAAATTATGGCAACAATTTCATACTCATAATACAATACTACGTTATCTAACAGGGTGAGCTATTGAAGAAAAATAATGCATCAAATAATTTTCACAATATTTATTATTGAAGCTGAAGTCAGCTTTATAAAAAGTCAAAGTTTCTGCAGCAAAATACTAGTGTTTAATATTGCAGCCATTTGCTTGATTGAAATTCTTGACTCTAGATATTAATTAGTCTAAAATTTCAGGGAAGGTTTTTTCGTTATAAGACAATACAAAGTATTGGTGCATCCTTTATAAAATACAAAATTCCATTGTACACAATGCGGGCAGACTCATGCAATATATCTCATTTTTTAAATTGTTAAGATTTTACTTTAACTAGGGCCTTGGGTGAAATGGTCAGCTGATGGTGCGGACTGAACACTCAGCCTTCTATAAGTGTCCCCGATAGAAAATAAAAATAACGAGGGCGTTAGTGTGTGTAGTGTAGCACTTTCATCCCGACCCGTAAAAGTAAGACATATTTTTTTCTTCTTTAGCTCTCTACTTGCCTCTTTAATCTAGTGTTTGGTGCACACGACAGCAAAACACGAGGTCCCAGGTTCGCGTCCAAGATATTTTAGCCATGCCTCGTAAGTCACGGTAACCCAACTGTAATTACTGATTTATTGACGGTAGTCATTAAATTACGCCCACTCCTACTGCAGTAGCATGGTGGGTAAGATCTTAAAACTCTCCCGTATGCAAGCGAAGTGTGATACAGAGTTTAGTTGTCGTATAAATAGTGTTACAATACTCTGTTTTATGTATATAGAATTAAGAATCTCTCCGTGTACGACCGGCTGAACCGTAACACAATTAAAAGTTTGACGTCAATGATATAAAAGCGGAATGAATCGTTATGTCCGTTTGTTTGCACTCGACTTACCCCATTTTATGAGCCAAATTCATGCTTTGTATAATTTTTGGATTTCTCGGTTACGTAACTCGTAGAAATTGATATAGAGTATAGACTATCTTTGGTCGAGAGGAATATTTCTACTGTGGATCGTAAGAAGTTTTTTATATTGTTAATTGCGGGTTTACAAGGCTGTATATTTTATACGATCTCAACTATTAGTATATATAATTGTTAGCGTAAATGAAGAATTAATTATGCAAGTACATTTTTTGAAAATTTTGAGCATTGCATGAGCAAATTTTTCTGAACATAATAACTAGATATGAAATTTTGGAAATGCCAAAAAACTTAGAATGTAAAATAAAATACGCTAGCAAAAAAATGTACCATTTCATTGAATAAATAGGTCTTTTGAGTAGCAGCCAAAAAACTGCCCAACTCAGTAAAATGCACTGCACAAAATCAAGTTTTAGTAAAAATATAGAATATATGCGTAGAATTATTCTGTATAATATACGACACATTAACATAACATGCAAATAGACTACGAAAAAGTTCATTGACTTTCTAAGCTCAGCCAAATGTATTACAGAGATTTAATTTAAATAAATTGTGAGGATCATTATCTTTTCACATTGCATTGATTAAAAAGCTTATTTTGCCTTTTACATTATTACATTTTTTGTCTTTTAATTTTATTAAGCTTAATCATCTTTGCGATCTATGCGACTGTTGTCTATGGTTTTTTTTTTAAGACAGACGAATACAGACAAGCACAGCGTTCCCCATAATATAAGGTATGCATTGGAATATAAAATACCCGATATAACATATAAAAAACGTTAGATTGTCCATCTCATTCATCTTTAGATATTTCGGAATCTACAGACTTAAAAAAATTCGAAACGCGTAGTTACACTTCACGGCATTCCAATCTGAATTCGGTGGTTCGTGACCCGGAATTATGATATTTCTATTGCTGTTGTGAATATCCAGATTTTCCAGACAGGGTCTAAATATATTATAGAAATAACATGAAGCGAACCCACGGCCCCATTGATGGTAAGAATCGTTACACTAACCGCCAACCTTTGTCTGTATCGCCCTTCGTAACAATTTCGAATCTTTTTTAGTATTTAACAGGTAAATATGTCTTAAACTTGTGTACATAGCTGCTAGCTATAGCTATTGACATTTGCACCGCATACACACAATAGGCCTTGATATAAGTAAGGTCAGCAAAAGGGTACAATACCGACTCAGTAGATTACAATACCGAGAAATGTTCCCTTCCCATCTTAATGATTTTACAAATTTTAAAATAAATAATAAAAAAGTATTTGTTTTTCTAACAGTAACCTCTGAAGGTGATTTTATAATCCCATAAACTATTAGTTAAAGGTTAGAATATTCTCGTAAGAATACATTTCATAGTACAATAGATTACGTTCCAAGGCGAGAAAAATCTCGTTTGCTTCATAAAAATATTTGATATTTGACATCATTATTTGTGGGAATTTAGTTCAGAATCTATTTAACGATGTTGTAACGTGAAAGAGCGAAAAATGTGGACAGAAATAAAAATCCACGAACTTTTCATATCCACAAGAATCCACTTATTTCTAAAATTATTTATGTAAAATATTTATCCCTAATAAGATTCTTATTGTAAACCCTTTTGTATATTTTGCTGTTGCTTCTTATAACGTAAACATTATACAACACGGTACACACGCTAAGTACATTTCACAAGACATTATGTCATAACCAAGAAGAAAAAGTCGTGAGAACTCACCGAGTAAGCCTTAATCCTTTTTGGGTCAACGTCATGCGACCGCGTCTGGGCACGCGGCGACGACGATACCATGATCTATGGATCACGATCTATAGATCACTGAGCTAACGGTGTACACGCACCGAACATCCCAAACATGGCACACTTTCACAACATACAATCCGAATAAAATATGGTTGCTCGACTGCTGGGTTTTAATATTGATCGGCTTAATTAAACAAGGTCCATGCGATTCGCTAACTGTTTCCACATTCCATTTTAATTATAACTGTGTTTTATATTATCTGTGAGGATACATATTCAGATAAATTTAATAGAAGAATTTTAACGTTTATGGATTTCGTTGCGCCAGCGCAATAAGCAAGTAGGTAGGCTACGACGGTGTTACCAAGGAGTTCAAAAACCTTTTTACATAAATTGATTAGCTATTAAATTCGAAATAATGTTAAGAACTGTATTCAGTAAAAAATATCTCATAAAATCATCAATCATAGATCGGTCGGTCATCAAACATAGGAGAAATAAAAAAATACAAAAATGAATATACCTATAAGTACTTCACATACATATGTACTACTTAGTAAAAGTTTATTCTGTCAAAAATAGTAACTTTAAATTCATTTATTTACTTATGGACAATTGACAAACATAAAATGACGTTGCATCAAGGGTAAATGCACTTGTTCTATCTTTTTCTAGACGCTATTAGGTATTATCTTTAAAAGTGTTGTGAATTTTCAACCTTTATTGGATAACAATAACCTGTAGAACAAGACTCTTACATAAGATACATTGTCAAGTCATTATTTAGTTACGTACGTAGTCTAGATCGTAAGACCAGTGATATTATTAATTGGAAACGAAAGAAAATGTAATGAGAAATAAAGTATAATTATGAAAACCGTTTCATTTTGGTTTCATAATATGGTTAAGCCATTAGGTATATAGATCGTGTATAGAAGTCATTTTATTTAGACAAAATATTAAACTTTAAAGTTCCAAAATGTTACAAACTTTTCGAATGTGGACATCGTCGTTTTACACACTAAAGCTTAATAATTTGAAGGAATTAGTCAAATGTTATTTTTTTTTCATGTTTCATATTTATGTATATTTAAGAATTTTTCAAAATAACTATTTGCATCGCGTTTACAAAGTCCACGAATTCCGTAAGTAAAATATCTTGTCTCGAGCGAGTTATTTGAGGACAGGACAATTTTCAACTCGAAAGCTGCCCAAACTTGCGGAGAGCTTTCTTCATTTGGAATTCCCTACTGTCGCAAAATAGATTACAATTTTGTAATTATAAATAACCTAGATTGCAAATGATTGTTGTGTTTCGCCAGGTCAATCTATCTAGATTTACAGAAATTGTTATTATTCTAGATAACTTAAAGAGAAGCTATTAATGTAATTTTTTTTAGGGATTATTATATCCCATAGAGATATTAGTTTTAAGGTAAACTTGTAATCGTACGGGTATTACGTATATGTATGTATGCATTAAAAACGTGTTTCTTTCTATATAAATTAAAGATACTATTATATTTTTTAAATGCAATTAAAAAAAAGGTATTTCTTGTCACAGAAAGACATGGGGATTAATGGATGAAATGTAAAATACCTCAGTCGTATATAACCTAACCAAAATGTGCTTTCGAAGTATAATTTTTGATTTTGAATATTCGAAATGGCAAATATTGTAGAATTAAACTTTTCAAATTACTGCGTTTCTCTGACAGAATTCTAATATTTATTCTTATCTTCCATCTTAAATTTATTGATTTTCCATTCGAAGTCTAAAACATTATTAGGAACATGTCGGTGCGGGTGGGACTCGAACCCACGACAGGTCAATTATTAGCCATTGGACCAACGAGTCGTCAAACGAGTAGCAACACAAACGCGCCTAATAAAACCCCGCGGGGTAGCCTAGCCCAGTTTGTGTTCTTACTCAGTCCTAATTAAAAGTTCAGCTTAATTAAACAACGTTTTATTAGCCCATTGTAAGCGGGAAAAAGACTACTTTTTTCTTTGTACGGAGCAAAGCTCTTCGTTTTGTGCTAGCGTTTTCTAACTGTTTTATTATATTAGGAGTAGCTGATTAAATTATGATAGCGTATGAAATAAATAAAAGAACATAATTATTGCATACACACTTTGTAAATTAATTTACAATACTTTGAGGATATATTTTTTAATTAGAAAGAATGTTCTCATGATTTTCGTATTTTTCGTCTATATTCTGGCTAAATAATGGCTAATCGTTATGTTTGTCGCAACTGTTTATTGCAATCCTAAAGTACACTTTTACTTAAATTATAGATATTTATCTGCACTATCATTACCTAATCGATTTACAACATCGGATAGTGAAAAATTTGTATCAGAATTAATGGATTTGTAACATTTAAGAAATATTCTCTTCAGTGTTGTCTGTAGTTTACGCGACAGTATATATTTTTTTCAAGTGTAACTATACATAAGGTTTAAAAATGCGAAATGTTGACATCTTTAATTACCCCCCTGACCGTGTCGGCTGAAAAGCATCCGAAACGTTACATCGTAATCAAAATAAATTAAAAATAAGTTTACTGATATATGTATATCTCGCGTTTATAACCGTTAAGTGTTTTATTTCAAAATAGTCTCTCTTAACACGCGTGTTGACTTTGTCTATAAAACTATAACGTATCCTGAGATTCCCTAGAAGCAGTGAGTATGCAAGCAGCAAGGCCGCCACATCAAATGAATTGGCCACGGTGCAGCGCACTGCGTACTAACGTGCGAAATGAAGTTATATTGAACATCAGATGCATTGGTCAGGCCTCGAACACTTAGGATTCCTTTGAAACATTTCTTCAAGCTGCAATCGAGAATAAATATTGCCACGAAGTACATAAAATAGGTATTTGTATTACTGAACTTCTTTTGGGTACACCGATAGATAATTAGTCCACATTATCTTCTAATTACTTCACCCATTTCCCCTTTTCAAAATAGTTCATGGGAATTAAACAAGGTTCTGGGTTCGAATTCTCGGGAAACAATACATTCGAGTATCACATATCAGATCAACTATTTGTTGGTAAACTACGACTAGAGAAATATACACAAACATGCGCTTGCCCTATGCTTCATACATGATTATTCAAATCATTCACCATACTTTATATCAAAGGTTAAGGCGAAAATAACACCCTGGAATATGTAGGTATTAAATATTGCCAATTTTCAGCAAAAACTTGTAACATTATTAAATTCAAGTATAAGTTTTACCGGTTTATCTAGGAAACCAGTTTGTGTCTATCGAATTCGAAAGTTCCAGCCGAAAGCCTTTTATGAAGTCCAATATAAACTTTGTTCAAAATATGTCTCGTAATGCGAAAGTTTCGCAAAGCCAAAATAGTTTATGACAACGAGGGACATTTATAAGTTAACAATATTGTGGTTCCGAGGGATCCTTCTCAGGACAGAGGAGGACAGACAAAAATCGGGTTTTGTCTTTGGATATTTCACAGACTGAAAACAAAATTCGGTTACGCTTCACAGCTGTTTATATGCGGTGGTGACCCGGGTGGAGTTTCGATATTTCTATCAGCAATATGGTATCCGCCTTTTCTAATCATAGTCTGACAGGTTTCATAAAAATCATAACGTGAAATATGCATTATAAATTGAAAGAAATTTACGACACTCGCAAGACTTGAAACGGCATCGACAGCCAAACAAGACATTGGTTAGAGCAACAACAGTGGCGTAAAATATTCAATCTATAATCTTTAATTTGTATAGTGCCATCATGCGGAATAACATGTAAAAAATATTAAAACTATAACGTCATGATAACCAACGACCTGCTGATTATGAGCAATTCATTGCTGCCGCCTAGACCGACGCTTTAGTGATAATTATAGCCTTCAGTCATTCAAACTCCTAAATGGTTTATCATGGATATCAATAATCCTTTAATCTTATCGATTGCCTGACTCGATCTTATCGCGAGAGAAGTCATCAAACACATCTGATTGTGAAAAAATGTTTTATATTCAACTCATACATTTGATAATGATAACGTCGAATGTACAACAATATTGTCGAGTAAACATTTTGAAACATTTTGCAGTTATTGGGCCATCGGCAAATATTTTTAAGGTGAAAGGGAAAATAATATATAGCTTAGTCTAAGAGTAGTGTTACAGTTTAAAACGCTAAATATATTAGGTAACTTATTATTATGACCCGACGTTTTAGATCCTTTGCAGCAACGTAAAGGCGTAAGCGTAGTGCCAAATAAAATATTTCACGTTTAAAATCGTTAAAAGTTATTTAAAAGAATAATATGGGTTTGAAGTTACAACGAATATTGAACAATGGTATTTCTATTCACGAACGACACTTCTGTTATTGTCATGCTAATCATTATTTATTATTAAACACCTTGAAAGCGAGTTGTAAGACAATACTTCCAGGAATATTAAGTAAGATTATAAAATATAATCAACTTCAAATATTTTATATAGGATTACATTTTGATTTTACAAAAAACCTTGCCTTGTCTATAGTTTACGCGAGTAGTATACATTGAAATAAAACACTTAAACGGTTTAAAACGCGATATATATATATATATATATATATATATATATATATATATAAATAAAAATGATTGAAAGTAATCTTTGTTTGTATTGCTGCGAAATATGTATTTTTAAATAAATTCATGCAAATGTGATTTACCTAGTATACATTACATAGAAAACTATACAAGCTCGTAAAATGTTATCCTTTTGTAAAAATATTTAATGATATACATTAAAAATCGAAAAAGGCAGTACTTGAACCGGCATACACGGCGTTCCGTGCTGTTGTTCTAACCAAGCTACCGTGTCCTAAACATCATTGAATTTTTCAACCTATCCATAAACGCAACTCTCGCGCCATTAAATCGTTATTTTAAAACATATGTAAATTGTAACTAAACAATGTATTATCGTTACCTCACTGTCACCTTGGTATTTCCGACAAAGGCACAAGTGCTTCAACCTGTCGACCGCGGAACAACACCGCGACGTATCCAACAGATTCACATTCAACAACTGCATGACCTTTGCCATGTTCAAGAACCACTGTCACATATCCGAAGAGGCGGGAGTAAGGATGTTTCAGCGCGAGGTGTTACCGAACGGAAAAGTCTGCGAATACTGGTGTTATCAGAGGCTATCTCGAGTTTGTCACGCCAGATATTGTGTTGTGATGACGATAAGGCGCGTGGGCGTTTCAATGTTTTCATGTGCCAGGTGATTTTTTATTTATAAAGTTCACTTCGCGGCCTCACCTCAAAGGGTATACGCGTAGCATTACGTTACGGACCTGGGTTCAAATTCTAGGACAACGAAATTTTTTTGGCCTGTAATTAAAAAAGATTAGTCAGTGAAATGGAAACAGAAATACGTTTGCCCCATGCCCCACAGGGGTACCCTTATGGGGCATTCACACGTGTGTGAATGCCCCATAAGGCCTACTTACTTATACTTTATGCCTAGTCAAAATGTTTACGAACAACTTGTACCTTCTTAAGATCTACAATTTCTATAAAATTAAATACAGACCTATTTGTCTGGTATTTATTTTACTATTAATTTTTAAACTCACTGCACTATAGGAGAATTAATGACTACGCTGTTAATATCAACAACAATGGACAGTTAATCATTTTATTTAATTACTTATTCAAAAACCTGTTATCATTTAAATTAGAGCGACAGATAGAAGTGTATATTATCTTGTCCCGTTTCATAATAACTAAAAAAACAAAACCTAGAACAGGTGCCACTTAATAATTATGAATAAGATGTGCAAATTTTGTTGCCTACTTGTAGGTACAACCTAAGATACTTTTTGAAGCATATTGCGCTGTGGAATGCGAACAGCTGTCTCTAAGGCTAGGTATAGCCTCCTGTCACCTGTCACCTGTTAGTCAGGGTAAAGGCTTAAACGTGGGTTAATTTGTTACACTTTTGCTTAGATATTTTTAGAGCGATAAATTATTTCCTCTCATTAATTCCATTCTTAACTTTAAAATAATCGCATTGATAAAAAAAAACATCAAGTTGCAGCAGCAATACAGTTAAGTTTATATCAAATCGTTTATACTAAGTAATCAAAATGTTAGGTTCCAACGTTAGAATAAAAAACCACATCCATTAAATAGCAAATCCTATAACCCAATAGACCGATATCCGTACACAACAGCCTTTACTATGACATAGTGTGGGCTAAATATAGAAATCCCGATAAGTGGTGAAAGAATCGATAGCAGATGTGGGACGCAGGGAAATCATATTTGGATGGGTTTCAGCGAGGTATTTTAAGGCAGGTGCGATGGCACTCTGACATTTTCGATCACATTTGATTAAGTGATTTCAACCCAATCATGGGACGACGTTTATGATTTTGTTTCATAGATCGATTTCATTTTCAGTTAAGTAGTTGATCGGAGTTCCATGGCCTGCTCGTTTTCGTATTCAAATCACAAAAACTCAACCCAAACCGCACTGTAACGCACCGCACCTTGCTTTAAAAAAGCCTTCGATAAGTTAGGTACTGTGGAGAAGTGTAGCTAATAATAGTATAAACAACTTAATTGAATTTCGTAACATGGTAGCGTTAGATATGCTGTCAAATTGAATTTGGGAATAAATTAAACTCATTTTGAATGATTGGTCCCCCCTATAAATCCTATTATATTTAGAGTCATACTTTTAAGCCACAAATAATAAAAACGGTAACTTAATACTAGCATAGTGCTTATAATATATTATCTTTAACTCGAAATAAAATGTTGACTGAAGTGTCAAGAAATAATAGAAAGCGAGACCAAAATAGCGCCTTGCATAACGAAGCTATGGAAATGTGTAATTACGCATTACTCCGTGTTCTAGGGCACAATGAGAGTTCTTTACAATCCTAGGTCAAGCACTGACAGCACTGAACCTAGTGCTCAGCACGAGAGCTTTTTATTCATCTTTTGTGATGCAGTTGTCCTTAGGGCCTGCTTTTCACAATAATTAAGCGCGAAGTATTGTAAAAACAGGCTTCTGTGAAATTTGTACGGACTGGTTTGTTTATGGTAGTAATGTATGCCTTATAATCATCGAGTCGTAGATTGGATCCTTACTACTTAAATTTAAACTTAATTTTTTTTGGAAACGTGTTGTTTTAATCAGGAATATCTGGACATTACTGGATGGTATGACTGGTGGTCCACAGATAAAAAATGCGCAACAACGCGTCTTGTTTAGATGTCATATGGCTAGGGTGCTTCATCATCCATCAAGGGAATCCCATTCCTTTGCGTCTTACTCTGACTAAAAAAAGTTTTTGTAATGAAGGATAATACATAGTAGAAAAGCATAAAATTATATTGTCCTACCTTTAGTAGTAAATTTCAATGAAACCTTCCATTATGCAGGTTTAGATACAAAATAGGTAAATGTGTTTGTTGGTGTAGCCAAAACACATACGTTGCAAACGTAACTGTGTTAAACGCTACAACCTGAAGCTAGAATCGAATTGCTAGTAGATGCTGCGAGCAATTCAATTTGACCCCGTTTTGTCAAGTGCGTATCGATAACAGTTTACTATAGTCGGTGTTGATAAGTTATCTATATTATATGAGAGTAATCTCGTTTAGCGCGAAACCTTTCTGAATATATTAATTTTTTTCATAGTATTCTTAAAGAAATTGATTTTTCATCATTGTATTTATTTTATTTTAATAATCAGCAGGACATTTTGGATTTCTGTTTAACAATAATGATTTTTATTCATTTCAGTACAGACGTTTAGACACACATACTGACAATAGTTTGAACCATAAGTAGTTTTTTTATGTTAGAGGAGGACAGAAAAGCATGGGGTTCTTGATGGTAGGTGTACCTCTGTCAACCTATTTTTGGCTTTGGATATTCGGAAATCCACAGACTGAAACCGAAACGTCATTGATCTTCGTGGCTTATTCATCTGTGGTGTTTCGTGACCCAGGTGGAATTTTGATATTCCTACCACCCATTTGATATCCAGATTTCAGACGAAATTCAACATGTTTAAAAAAAATTATAAACTGATTAGAAAAATGATTATGAGCCGTACCAAAGAGCCAAAAACGAAATGAAATTGTGCATTCCGATAATTGTACTCGCTGTCAGTAAACATTTCGTAACGAACCATACGCGCAGTGAACTTGGGGTAACTCCATTCATTAACAGGAAACAGGAAGTGCGTGCCTGTTTGTCTGTTCGTCACTATGGCGACGGTGAATCACGTTATCTGCGAAGAGTGGCAGGTGTGAATCCGATTAGTATTCATTTGGCACTATGTCGTATGTAGTTATATCAAATATATTTTGAACATGTGGCTAAACGGGTTGCTTAGCACTGAGCACGAGAAGTGCTGGGTTTTTAGTCGCAGAGAAACATGCTTTTAAAATACGTGGTTGTAAATGGTGGGGAAAATTCGTTCATTACAGCTTATATTAACATCATGCAAATACAATGTTAGTTTAGGACAAGTTCGCGCTGACGGGCACAACGAGCTTTGACTGCACAATATTATCGGAGACGTGTAAAGTTTACGGCTCATCATTAAACCTGTTTAGCAGTCTAAGGTATTCTTAAACTCAGTGCTATACTGGTTATTATATAGAGGTTAATATTTTTAACTATGAGGGAATTATAGATACCTAGGATAAATCTTATGTTCAACATGTTGCACTTAGTCTGGAAATCTGGATATTATTAAATTATTGGTATGAATATGAAATTCCATCCGGGTTACAAACGATTGTCAACAAATAAAAACCGCGGCGTTTTGATTTCAGTCAGTGGTTGTCCAAATGTCCAATAGCCAAAATAATTATAATATAATAGAATCCCATGCTTATTTATCCCCGTAACATAAAAATGAGTTAAATTTATTAAGAAGCTTTAAATATGCATCGATGGCCTGGACTTTAAAAATTGTCAAATGTCTCTTATTAACTCGACGTAACACGTTTTTGCGTTTATATAAGATTATGTGCATGGCAATAGCTGTAATTAAATAAATAAATAAAGATGTGCTTTTTTTAATTTACTCGGAAACTAGTTATGTAAAACGTCTAGAAGTCGACTGTCATAACTGAATCTTACCTGCCTGTGACTATATACATTCGAGTAGTATGTAAAAATGTTTATATAAGATGAACGATATTTAAATATTAGCGCATTAGCGTATGCGAAAGTACAAATGATAATATAATGTGCACGATAATGGTTCACAACGTGCGAAAACTTGTTTTTGTTTTCACACTTATGTAACAAGACACTAGACGTAAGACACATTATTTTCTGCGAGTAACATGTAACACAACGCTTTGATCAAAATTAACAAATAATTTTAAATACCGATTATAGTTTACCAGTTTAGCGCCAATTAAAAACGCGACAGATTTAGCGATTTACAACGCTTGCACAAATAAACTAACAAAAATATAAACGAGACTTATATACTAAAAATATGGAGTGCAATGGGCGGCCTTATCGCTAATGAGCGATCTCTTCCAGGCAACCCAAGATGAAAGAGGAAAAATTTTACGGGAAAACGAGATGTGCAAGGTGGGCGAAACAAAATTTACAATGTTAAATATAATCTTCAACATATCAAAATAAAATTCTTAACACACAATAAAACTTCCACACAATTTCAAAATTTATCTACGGAAACTAAACTAAAAGAAGGATTGCGATTGGGTAATTAAGTGACATAAAGAGGAGCCTTTTAAAGTATAGGATGGAAGGCGCAATACGAATGGAGACGGGTAAGGTATTCCATAACCTGATCGCGGTAATTTGAAAGGATTTGCCTAGAATGTTGGAGCTGTGGTAAGGAACTTCAAGTATAAGCCGGTCAGATGATCGCAAAACGTAGCTACCGTACGGACCCATGAATTTAAAGTTACATTTTAGATAGGATATATATTAGTTACTTATGTTTTATTTAAATAAATTTGGATGCAATATTTCTACGGTAAACTATATGATGTATGAGAAACAAGTGAAGAACCAAACGTAGAGAA